ATAAATGAATGAATGAATGTTAAATGCCCCGTATCAAACGGGGGATCCTGCTACCTGAAGGCCTCCTATTAAATCTGCACTCTCATCTGGAGCCACACGGGAAAGCCCTTGTAAATATTGCGCTCCCTGCGGAGTTACGCATGCCGGAGCATAAAGGAGACACAATGGGGAACAAACACCAAGGCTTCAAATGACAATCTCCACATTTCATTAGTGTAGAGTCCCGTGACTGTTGGGAGTTTTAAGCGAAGAGGGAGAAGGCATTTACTCCAGCTGATGTTGACACTGCTGTGTTTCTATTGTTTCGTGCTCTTGCACCACATCACACAAGATAAACACTCGCCGACAAAAACAAAGCAGTTGCCACATACTTGGATACAGTCTCAACTCTCGCAGTGAAAAGGCTTTAAAAATCACAAGAATATTAAAGATTTATTGAAATCTGATCACAAACGATTCCAGTGACTGAACAAAGAAACACACTCCCCAAATAAACCACCGGCACACACATTTTTAGATACATAAAAAGCACTTACACGTTTTACAGCATGGTTTAACCGCTCTCGTTTAGTTTGATGCTGATAAGTGACAACCTCTCCCTGCTCGGTGAAGATGATCTTTAGAACAATTTCACCGCTCTGTTTCTTTCACAGCAACAAAAAGCGGCAGCACACGTGGGTCACCGGGGGTCGTGGCACAGTGATAACCCCCCCCCGCCCACCTCTGATCTGTGACCCACGACTTCTCCCCTCTGCCTCTTTAACTGCCCTCCCGCTTTCAGTTCACCTCCTCCTCCATTATCTGTCCATTTCAGGTGAAGATGCCCCACAGAGGAGCCCTCTCACTCAGTCTGTGTGTACAGGTGCATTTGCCCACAGCTTCCCCTTCTTTTAAAGCCTCCAATTGCTTTTTTAAAATTCCTTGTAGAGTTAAATGATCAGGCTCTTTTTCCCCAGAGTGTTGGAGGGTGTCCTCGTCTGGCATCGAGGAGGAGGCCAAACTGCGGTTAGTGCTGTGCGGTGAGGTTGAGCAGCCTCTTGCTCAGTATGGTGTTGTGCTGTTTCAGGTACTCGATCAGATCGGCCTGTTTCTCCACCACCTCCTCCAGATTAGAGCTTCCTCTGTAACAAAAATAAGAGTTTGTAAAAGATCCTCATACAAGAATACCAGCCTTGAGGGTTATCTCAAGTATTTCTCAAACTATGCAGCAATAAAAAAAAAATAAAATGTCTACAAAATCTTCAAAAAGAGTGTGAGGGTCCAAAAATGCCGCCATCATCTCCGAGCCGAAGCTCATTTAAAATGGACTGAGGGAAAGTGGAAAGCTGTTCTGTAGTCAGACGAATTGAAATTTGAAAGTCTTTCTGCAGACAACACCAAAGAGCAGAGGGAGCATCCAGCTTGCTTCGGCGCTCAGTTCAAAAGTAAGCATCTTTTGTGTACATTAGTGTCAATGTACATTTGGAAAGGCATCATCAATGCTGAAAGGTATACACGCAGCTTTTGGGGTGACACGCGCTCCCATCCAGGTGACGTCTTACTCGTGAAAGACGTTCCATATTTGAGCAAGACAATGCTAAGCCACACACTGCATCTACTGCTACAGCATGTCTTTGTAGCAGTAGAGTCCAGGTGCTTAACTGGCCTACAGGTCAGATCTTACCCGAATAAAAAAAAAACATAATATAAAAAAATTAAAATTGGCCAGTCATTAAATGGAAAATAAGACCCAAGACTGAGCAGCTAGGATCCTGTATTAGACGAGAATGAGACAACATTCCTCTCCAGCAGCTCCTCTCCTCAGTGCCCAGATGTTTACAGACTTGTTAAAAGAAGACTGGATGCTACACATGACCCTGTCTCACATGTTTTGGTATCTGATTGTATATACACAGGTTTGGAAGCAACATATGCTACCAGCCAGGGCTTGCTTGTTTCAGTAAGAAATTGAAGTCTGCACATATTAGAGCACCTCACTCACTGAAACATTTAATTCACTATGAAACAAAACAAACAAAAAGATCACAAAGGAAGCCTGTAAAACATGCACCAAGTCTCATGTTGTGCCTCATCAGGCCCACATGACTGCATCTCCAAGCACTAACATCATAAAATTGTACTTTTTACCAAAGTTATTTTGTAATCTTTACCATCTGAATGTGAGGTAAACTGTAAACCGATCACGGGAGATGCTCTTAAACTGATCCCTTTTAAAATGGAAACTCATGCTGCTATGGCTTAAAATCACATTCATTCAATTCATGTGTCTCCACAGAGGAAACTTAAATCTGAGCACAGCGACACTTCTGTGGGTGCCTGAGTGAAACTGCTGTACCTGAAGCCCGTCTCAGTCGGTGCGTTGGTGACGCTGTAGGTGTGTGAAAGCTCTTCCTGGCTCACATCTGGTGCAGCGCGCTCTCTGTTGAACCGCATCACTTTAACTGGAAAAGCAAACAAAAAGCTTTTAGCCTCGCAATAAAATCATCAAACTCGAGTTTTAATGCTGCCGACTGCTTGTAAAGGCACACAGACATTATTGAGCAGTGACAGGTTTCTACCCACGATAATCACCTAGGTGAGAAACATGACACTTTTTAAAAAAATTTAAATTGTTTTTCATCCCTCTGACTCTCCTAAACACATAGAGGCTGTTATATCCTGCAGTTAGTTCTTATGGGCTGCCATATCCTGCACTTAAACCTCTAATTCTCACACCCTAAACATGCACCTTTACTAAGGGGTGGTGCTAGCAGCAAGGTGTGTGTATTGTGGGTCCAATAGTTTACAGTAAGAGAAGCTGCAAACAAAATATGTGCTGGAGGAGTTTTTAGGGTCACAAGGCTACGGTTTGAGTACGTCTGTAAGCCTGTATGGGTGAGGCTGCGATGAAGGCCAAAGGGAGGAGCTGGCCGAGTATTGATAAGACTTGAGCGTCATTAGCCAGAGGAAATTGTCAGGGAGGTTCTAAAGAGCACTATCTTTACTTTGCTACAGTGCAGCATCTCAACATCAACACTCACACACAATCCAAAGAAATGCTACACATTCCTGCATAATGAGGCCCTAAATCTGTGTGTGTGTGCTCACAAGTAAATAAAGCAATAATAAGTAAGTATTTGTGGGAGAGAGACATTCCTACATTCCTCAGAAATGAGGTGGAGGAGAGAAAAGCAAAAGGTATAAAGGCAAAATGTCACGATGAGCCTTTGTTTGATGCAGAAAAATCACAAAATGCTCTAAATATTTACAATACCAGGAGAGAGAGAAAAAAAAAAAATCAACCATTTTCCCAGCTCACAAAAACGCTTTCATATATTAAATAAATTAAAAAAAAAAAAAAAAAGTTTCATACACAAAAAATGCCTTTCAAAAATATATATTTTTTAAAAAGCAGATGTATGGACAAATGTCCCTGAAAACTTTGCAGATTTCATTTGACTTTAAATATATTTGAACATTTAGCCATTTTAACTTACATTAATTAGAACATTTAACAACGCAAATAAATCTAAGGAAAGCATGCACTGCATGCGGCAGGAAAAATCTTATTAACATCATAAAATGATGTATTTACATTTAGTTTCAGCAGACACACCGTCAGCGCTGCAGGCATCTGCTTCAGTAAAATTCCGACTTCAACAGACAGACACACCAGGATGGATGGACTGGGCAGTGTAAAGGAAGTGATACATTTCACATGTTCCTGTTACAGACTCTCACGGCTGGACAGACAGAGCTCAGGCCTGGTCTGCTCGCATCTGAGAAGCCTCAATGACCCATCCAGGAAGGCCCATTTCCAGGTGACAACAGCGAAGCTGCAGAAGTGCTAAGAGCGAATGCGCCCAGCATGGTAGTGCGCCGGAAGTGTCGGTGCGGCGCGGCTTTGCAGACCCCACGTCTACATTGTTGTAGCTATGCACCATCAGCAGGGGGCAGTGTCAAAAATATGTCCCACAACCAGTTATGTGGGCTACTCTTGTTAAAGTTTGTGGTGTTACAACTTCTACCACGAAAAGACAAGCGTTACCACAAGAGTCTTTCTAGTGAAGCAAAGCAAAACAATGAAAACTACTGACTGAAGCCATACTTGATGCTTTTCAACAAAGCTTTGAGATTCTTAATGTTTTTGAAGGACCACATGCAAGTACATCTGCATAACAGCTTTGGTAAACTTCCCACAATCCTCCTTCTCTTAGCCAAAGAGCATCAATGCAGCACCATGACCTAGCCACATAACAGAGAGGAACCAGCAAGAACACACTTTTGAACAGAAAGCATAAAGATAACAGAGAGAAGCAGCGGTGAAGCCTTCTAGGTGTAGTATATGCTATGAAAAAACATCAAAGTCGGGCACAGAGTAGCAAAAAGTGGTTAAGAACAGCAGAGCCGAGACCCTGTGGAACTTCAAGTTCCAGACACACGAGCAGCTGCTGACTAACCGGCCAGACACAGCGGTGGCTGACGAGAAGCAGAGGAGGCCAGCTGTGACAGATGTGGTAATCCCAGCTGACAATAACATCAGAAAGAAGGAGCACGAGAAGACGGAGAAGTAGCAGGGCCTGAAGGAACCAGTGGAACAGATGGTGGACAGAGTGGAGGAATTTGGTATATTAGGCTAGGAGAACACACAACAGGTTCAACATCTGAGATGATGAGCAGTGCAGTCCTGGGGACAGCTAAGATACTGCTCTGAATCCTAAAACTCCCAGGCTTCCGGTGTAGCAATCAGTGGGTAGAAAGAAGAACGCCAGTGCTCAGTTTCCAATAACTATAGATCTTTTGCAAGTAGGTCAGCCAAGAGCATGTTTTCCCTTACGAGTAATGTTGTCTAAGAGTCTTTTCTATCAGTAAATAGATAAAGTAAGCCACAGTATTGCAAACAATGAGCACAGGGTAATTTTTCATGCAAACCGACCCACATTTACTATATATAGCGAGGTGTGTTGAATGAGGCGCATTAAAAAGGCACATTAACATTTATCATTTACCTGCAGGGAAAAATATTCCAAGCATTAAACATCGATGATTATTTATCATTCATAAAATGGTGTGAGAGATTAAATATTCACTTTTAGTCTGCACTGACAGGCATCAAACAAATATATTCTAAAATAATAATAATACTAATAATGATAAAATAATGGAGGACCTCCTGATCAAAAATGTGGTTTGAATCTTTTAAAAGTGATTCAGTCTTGTTTTACGTCTCCCCATCATGCAGTATATGGGGTTGGTGTGTGATCGGGTTATACTGCAGCTATCAGCATCAATGTGTGTGTGTCTCTGTTGTGCCCTGCAGTGCTTACACTAAGTTCTTGGCCAGCCAGAAGAGAGAGATGTAAGGTAGGCCTTTGAAGGCCGGGGCATGGCTTTGATGTGCAAGGAGGTCTATAGAGGAGAGGGTATTCATGTTAAAATGAGAGAGGTCGAAACATACAGAAACCCTTCAAAGACACACACACACACACACACGAGCACAGACACATACCCACACACGCAATCACAATCAGGCACGCACTTCAAAGACAAGTTGAACGAGGCCTTTATGGCTGCAGGCATTACATCTCTCTCTGAGAAAAAGAAGAAAAAGAGTTTACTTTTTTCATTTTCTTTTTCACGACCTCACTGGTGCCACCTTGACTCTCTCCGATCTGTCAGGGTGCCTGTTTGTGCTCGGTTCGTGCTGTGAGGCATCGTTCTGATTGTGCTATGCCTGACTGCACTGATCTGAGCAGGAATGCAACCGGTGACCAGGGACACCCCCCACCACACACAAACACATTGAAAAAAACAGCACTGTAAACACAGGGACAATGTGCATGGGTCTCCCATGGTTGAAGAGGGTGAGGGGGGTGAGGGCTACCCTTTGGCTAGGTTAAATCCTAATGCCTGTAATCTTTTCTCTGTGGCTCTTCGGTATCTTCATCTCACATCTGTGCCCCTCAGCTGCCAAACACAACTTTAATATGGATTTCTTTTCATCACATGATTCTTCAATAACAAAATAAACAAAAATAAAAAACAAATTGCAATTCACACAATTGATTAAAAAAACAGATCTTTGTCATATGTTGCTGCGATTTCTTCACCCTCTGACACTTTGGATAAGCCTCAGTTCCTCTAATCTGGATAAGCAGTTAAAAGAAACGGGTGGATGGATGTAGCGGTTGCGTTTGTTAGTGGTTAAGATGCCAACCATGAGCCACAACGTCTCCAGATCACTAGCACCTGGGGGGGCTTTAGTCACATCTCTCTCATTCATTTCCTGTGGTTCCTCCCCGTTCTTCAACAAAGGCAGAAAAACAAATCTGTATAACCCAGATAACTTGCCAAATGAAACCACATACCTTTTTAGTGCCTTATTTACTAAAAACAAAACAAACAAAAAATTTCTTTCCTTCTTTAAAACTTCTATTCTTCTCAGACACGTCATGAATGAGTGAACCACATAAGAAGATTTTAAATCAGTGAACTACTTCATAAAATAAAAAAATTAAGAATTGCTTTTGATTCCTTTCCCCTGAACAAAAGTTTGACTTCCTGCTACCACAGTTTAGTTTGATGTGCCTCAAATAGAAAACTGGGAAGAATTTCAAGAATTTCTGGAGATTTATATTAAAATAAGGCGTTGACTTAATTTACAGCTGTGCACGTACGCGGTGTATAGCTTCATCTTATAAAATACTTACGTACAATTAAATGAAGTAAATCTGAGTCTCTGTCCTGTAAAACCATCTGAACACAGCAGTGTCTTCTACTATACCCGGTCCTCCTGTATGAAAACTGATTTGGTTTTAGGCATGCAGGGCATCACCTGCTTATTTCACTGCATGTGTGGAAAGCATGCATTTAATGCATTTCATGGCTAGATTATGGTTCTGTGCTTTTTATTTTTTGCCTTTTTAAAAATGCATCACACTGTTTGCAAGTCTGATTCTAAAGGCTGTTTCTACATAAAAAGCAAACTTTTAGCTAACCTGACATTAAAAAAACAAACAAACAAAAAAAAAAAAAAACAGATGATAAAAAAATTTGTAGATTAGTTTGGTTTCACCATCCTAATCAACAATTAGTTTTATACTACAAAAAGCAGCGTCACAGTGAGGGACCTTTCCGTTAATAGCTGCTGCTTCGAGCCAACAAGCTACCAAAGCTACTTAATCTGAAATGTGTATCACAGGGTTAAATAACAATAGCTAAATTTAACCAGTTTGTTCTTGAGGGTTAAGGCAAAGGAAACGCACACAGTGGACACATAGACAGTGTTCAAAGTCTGCAAACACCGTGCTGAATCTGAAGCAAAGAATCAGCAGATCAGCAGAGAGAAGGAGGGTGGACAGAGAGTTGAATGGTTGATTGTCATGCTGTCGAGTCTGAAAAGGGCAGGGCAGGTATTGTAATGCAAACGCACTAAGACACAGTGTGGGGGTAGTGTGTGTGTAATGTAATCTACAGGGTGTGCCTCTCAATATAAAAAACAGCTGATGTTAGAGCTGCTATCTAATAAGTGATGCTGCAGCACAAAAAACACACTCTTATTATGAACTAGTGATTGAGAACCAACAGTAAAAAAGTGTTATTACATTAAACTCTACAAGCTGTATGGAAGCCAGTGAATGTGGTAGAGATAAAGTCCCAAACGTCTCTGGAGGTCTTATATCAGCTGGGTTTTTTTTTTATATCTGAGAAAAAACATCAAAAAAACCAAAACAAAATAAACTGATATTCGGTATTTAGTCAAGAGTTGTTTTCACAATGAAACTCTGGAAAATATCTGGAAAAACCTGGTCTGTGCATTATCTTACATGTGGCAGACACAGGACACCCACTTGCTCGCTCGCTATGAACTCTCTGGACAATTACTTGCTCTATTCCCACAAGGATTCAGTCAAACATTAGACAGACTTTACTAGAAAGCAGCCAGGTTAAAGACTGTTTAATGTCTGCCCCGACTGATTAGGGCAAAACATGTCTTAAAAAAATAAATAAAAAAGGTTTAGGGGCTGTAGTGCATGAGTGAAAACAGCTTTTGTTCACTGCCAGGCGGCTTTTTAGGAAAGAGAAGAAAATGTCTTTAACAGTTAAAAAAAAAAAAAAGAAAAAAGAAGAATGATTAAGCTAAGCATGGACTTCCTGTTTATTTTTCCATGTGCTGCCTTTTTGCAGCTAATATACAATACGGGATGCTGTGTAATAATAATAATAATAATAATAACGATGATGAATGTAATAACAGAATTCACTGGTATTGTATATCCGTTTTTAATGCAGTGCTGGCTGAGGGCCTGAAGCTCACAGGCATCCAGTAGTGACCCCGTCTTGTTCCTTTCTACAGAGAGATTTCCCCAGACCTGTTGCCAGTTAACCTGATTAGTTGAAAATGTTTTTGCAGCTGTTTCATTTTAGCACCACTTACTTTCCCAACCTTTTGCTCTCCCCGTCCCAACTTTTTTGAGACGTGTTGCCGCTGAAGAAATTCAAAGTGAGCTGAGATTTTTTAAGAATATTAAAACATCTCATTTTAAACATTTCATTCATCTTCAGTGTTCTATTGTGAATAAAATATTGGTGTATGAAGTTGAAAATGATTGCATTCTGTCTTTATTCACACACGTCCCAAACCACACCCAGACTTAAGTTTGACCACAACGAGTTTATCTGATCTGTACGTAAAGGAAATTATATTTCAGTTTCTTCTTCCTAAAGAATTTTAAAACTGTATATTTTGTCTATACCTACCCTTTTTCAAATGTATATTTGATTTTTAAAATGGTTTATTACTCTACAACTTCAAGGTTAAACTATTTAGATGTGACAGGGAAGGTAGGAAAAAACAAGTACATGTGCAGACTAATTGGTTAGCAACAAGGAGCTCGAGTTTCATCTTTCAAAAAATAATTGTCTTGGTGTTTCAGAATGTAAGCCTGAGTATTTGATGTTAAAGGTCTATATACATCATGTTAGAAACCTTAAATTTGTCTGCAGTCCTACAAAAGGGTCAATCTTAAATCCCCGATTGAGATTCTTTTACTCAACATTAAAATAAGATCACTTTACCTATGTAATACAGCAGGTATGGCAATGTCAACAAGACCTCAAATCCCAGAATACTGAGCAGCACGTAGACGTGTACAGTCTGTGGTAATCTCGCAGCCAGAAGAGTCATAAGCAGAGCGTTTCCTGTTCACACACACAGAAATATAAACACATACTTATGTTTTAGAATTACTGCCACCTTGTGGATAACACTGCCCATTACAGATTCATTCACTGTATCCTCATGAAAAGTTGTACCTGCAGAGTGTATGATGAACGGCACCTGTTTCAGCCTCTGCGTTTGTCTGTAAAACCGCAGGTATCCTCTGCTCCGAGCACGACTGTGGTGGTGATGCACGCAGCCTGTGAACACCAGCACCAGAATCCATAAACACGACTTTGCGAACACGATGACGCTGTCGCCTTGGACTCTCCCCAAAATACTCTTACACACTTCCTCTTGGCCGAATTTTAATACACACAGCACTGCCACGCAGACAGACAACACAACATAAACAACCTGAAAAGAACAAGAGAGTAGAGGATTTGAGACTTACTGGTATTTAATGACTTGGTGAACACTGCGTATGTGCAAATGTGTGCATATCATACATTCAGCAGAGTCAGCAGGATGGCATGGCAGTGTGTTGGCACAGTCTGAAACTCTCTCCTGATGGCAGAGTGGAGGGCATCAACAGAGATCAGGGGCCCATCCACCAAAGGCTCTTCCTCTATGCTTCGTGTCATATCTGCGGAGGAGCCTGCCTGCTAAAACAAACACATACATGCTTTATGCAACTGCCGCCAGGTCGCTTAAAAGTACCTTAAATTCATTAAGTACGATCAGATCCTTGAGTTTGAGTTGATTTAGCAGCTGTTTACAGGAAGAAGCAGCAAATTTAAACGGTTTTTATCTCAAATTCACTATGGGCTTTTGGGTCTGATAGAAGTAATAAGTGGTGACTGAAAACAATGACTTCCCAAACTTACCCAGAAGCAGGTCTGCAATTAATTTGAGAGCAGACCAAGCAGGTCTGGCTTTAAGGTTTGTGTGCATTTCGAAAATGTATGCAAAACTAACGAGTATTTAAGGCTAGTCAGTCAAGGTTTAGGCACTTAGAAGCGTAAAGACAACTTATGGTGTGCTTACTCCACATCACTTGTGCTGGCTACTAAAAGAAAAAAAGCTAATATAGGGTTTCAGTTCTTAATCTCGGTTCAATATCGGCATTGAAAATAAGGGAAATGAGCACATATTCATGAGTTAAAGAACTCGGTAGAGATATATAGAGCAAACATTTACTAATTAATTATTTCCAAAACAAACCTGCTGCGGAACAAGAGAAGCAGAGTCGCAGCTAATTCACGTCTCATCGTGTTGTTTTTAGCCGACAGCTTCAACTAGCCAGCTAGCTCACAAGCTAACTTCCGCGTGCAGTTAAAAGTATAAGGAAACAAGCGCGCTGTTGACGTGGCAATCAATTTAATGTGCATTGAAAGGTACGTACTGCATAAAGCGAGGGTCCCTTTGGGTCCATCTGTCCGGACGTTCAGCGTTTTTAAAATAACAACAACAAACTACATTGGCTTACAATTTATTTGCCAGATAGGTCAGGTGAATATTAGTAAACTTCCGGTCCTTCCTTTTTTGGCGCCGTTTTCTGGCTACTTGCTCAATAGTTCCGTTAATGTTTTCATTTTAAAACCGAAAAATAATTACATCAAAACGACTTCAGATTGCGGTAAAGCCAAAACCGGACCGGATATGAAAAAAAGTTTACTGGTGTAAAAACCAGTTAGTTTTTTAAAGGCTCATTGAAAAGAGTTTTAAGCCTCAAACAAACTCATCCATCTACGAGGTGAACTATGAACAAAAAACTTGCGATCTGAATTTCTAAAGTGGGAAATGAAAAAAAGGCGAAGGTTTTAAGGGTGAAGAAATGACTCATCCTTCTCACACTACACTACTCATAATGTACTACAAAACCCGGATTACAATGCCAAGAGCTTCCGTAGTGCTGTCTCAGAACATTTTATATATATTTTGTTATTTTTGTTTGTTTCTGTGTGTGTAATAAAATATAATACGACCTTCCTGAAACATTTGAACATTTCCATGGTAACAGGGAACAGCACCAATCAGAGACCTCGCTGGAATTTAAGCTTCTGGGTAAAGTAGTTTTCCCGCGATATCGAAAAACAAAACTGTTATTTGCTAAAACAACGCTGAGATCGCAGAGTTTCGAAGGGAGCACATACCGTCGTTTAACAGCGTCGAAGCTCGTAGTAAGTGTACTTGGCATGGCTATAACATTACAGCTCATAATCAAAATCGTTTATGTTGATGTCAGCATGAAAGTAAATCCAAATAAAGAAACAGATAGCATCCCATTTAAAACATTTTTATTGATAAACATACAGTTACTATAAAAGACAATGAACTGTGCTCTATTCCTCTGAGAGATGAAGAAGCTGTCAGGTTTCCAGATTGAGGCAAGACAAGAGAGGATAGGACAGTTCAGATTATTCTCTGGGGAGGCAACGCTTGTGATACAGAGGCAAATGAGGAGAGATTTTAGGACACTGTGGATTACCTTAAGAAGATATTAAAACAGGGAAGCAGCAAGTAACATTATGTCATTGGTTTAGTTCACTGGAGGCGATGGAAGAGGACAGCAGGTGATTAGGAGAGACTGATCCATTTAACATTTATTTTTTGCTGGTATGGAACTGTGCATTAAGTCAAATCACACACTGCATTCATACACACACACACACACACACACACACACACACACACACACAATGTGCCAAGACCTTTAGGTCTGTATGAGTGTGAAATACTCCTGCACACTCCACTCGCCTTCGCATTCATTACATAAGGCACTGATTCAGGTGCAGTCTGTGAGAAGAAACAATGGCTAAAACATCCTAAAGGGAAATTATTTAAAATTCAAAGAACAAGCATTATTACTTAACAACATGCATTCTCATTCCTGTAAAATGACTTATAGAGGAAAATCAAAATCAAAATCATCAGAATGATGTACGACAAACACAAGGATAGGTAAGAAAATAACCACTCACTATCCATCTGAGCAATACTCACAAAAACTTATATATATATATGTTACTTTTATCCATGCAAAACTGTAAACACAAAACCCAAAAATAAAGGAGAAGGTATGAGTAAGGCATTATAATGGTCAAGCTACTTCAGGTTATCCAACCTGAACCCCTTTTGCATCACACTCAAGAGAGTGGAGTCACATGATCAATGCAGAAGCAGGAGTTAATGAGTCAAGATTTGGGAGGCCGATGTGTTACAGACAGTAGTGTTCAGCTCTTGGAGTAAGATCCCTATTGAATGTCTTGTATGGATGTGCAAACGCCTAAACAAACTGGTTTTTTGATTACATCCATGCTACACATACTAAAAACAAGTGTATACACGTGTACGGTTAAGAAGTATAGCGATAGTCCTGCAAGTCCATGTAGTTGAGACTTTTGACCCACGTGGATTCAGACTCCTCGTTGTGAACATCCACGTGAGCTGTTGTGCATTCAAGGAGGAAAAAAGATGATGACTTGTAGCGTCAAGACTGTTTCAGTGTGATTCAGGGTTTTAGAAGAGTTCTCCACCCAATCACAGAGGGTCCAGCTCCAAAACAGTGGTCATCATAGTGTGGTGGGCTGACCTCGGCCTGCAAACAGAAACAGACATTAACAGTCATATAATAAGTTTACACTGAAAAGGTTTGTACTATCTAAAATGTTTGGTATGTGAGATAAAGACAGAAACGATGTCTGTATATACTCATACTATAGAAGTTACTCAGACACCACAGACATTACAAAAATCCGAAAAACAAAAAAAAGATGTTAGCAGTCAAAAAGCTGAAGTCAAAATGGAGCCCACAAACCAACGGGTGACATCACACAGGCTAGGTATGTGTTTTGTATGCCATCTGTGTGCAGGACAGGATGCAGTCCCTCTGTGCTGGTTTGTGTGGGTGTGCGTGTCTTCTCACCCCGAGATGCAATGTAGCACTCGTGGCAGCTCAGCATTCCCTTACGAATCCGTACGTCAGTCCCTGCAGTGGCGTCACCAAGCTGTACACCACACAGTCCACACTGCGTTTGGAAATACGGCAATTAACATTATGTACACACAGGACTGTCTTCATGTTGAAAACTCTCATTTTTACTCCTGTTGTGCATCAATTTTTTATGTGTTCTCTTCCTTGGACATAATTGTGATATAAACTCACCCACTTTATTATGTATACCTAACAGATCGGACCCCCTTGCCCACCCCTTATTTTTCCTTTCAGAAATGCTTCTTAAGCCATCAGTTGTCATAGATTCAACAAGGTGCTGGAAACATTCATCAGAGTATCACACAGTTGCTGCAGATTTTTCAGCTGTACAAATTTTGCAAATGTTTCTCTCATTGAAATTGTCACACCACTTTGGCAAGGTGCTCTGTTGTATTGAGATCTGGTGGCTGTGGAGGCCACTTGAGTACAGTGAACTCACTGTCGTGTTAAATGACCAGTTTGAGAGTATTTGAGCTTTGTGATTCGGTGTGTGATCCTGCTGGAAGTAGCCAACAGAAGATGGATACACTGTGGCCATAAAAGAATGGAGATGGTCAGCAAAAATTGTCAGGTAGGCAGTGAAGATGAGATGATGCTCAGTTTGAGGTTATCTCAGCTTTGGGATATGGTGTGCTACTCTAGTCATTAAAGACTGGTACACTGTGGTCATAAAGAGATGGACATAGTCAGCAACAATACTGAGCAACAATATTTAGATAGTTTGTGATGTTGAAATGATACTCAGTTGGCACTAAGGGGCTCAAAGTGTGCCAAGAAAATATCCCCCGCATCACTACACAACCCAGCAGGATAGATTCATGCTTTTATGTCTTAATGTTGCAGCAGATATCGAGACTCATAAAACCAGGAAATGTTTTTCCAGTTTTCTAATGTCCAATTATGACTACAAGAGCAAATTGTGTCTAAGGTTTCTTAGCTGACAGGAGTGGCTCTGGAGTGGTCTTTTGCTTCCAACCAGACATGTTGTGCCTTCAGACATGCTCTTTTTCATACTTGGTTGTAACAAGTGGTTATTTGAGTTAGTGTTGGCTACCAGGCCACCTTCAAAGCCACTCAAACTACATTCTTCCACATTCTGATGCTCACTTTGAACATAAGCAGGCCATCTTGACCATGTCTACACTGAGCGGCTGCATGGGACTGGTTGAATAGGTATTCGTTTTTAGAAGCAGGTGAACAGGTGTACCTAATAAAGTGGCTGGTGGGTGTAGATGTGCTCAGGTGATCTCTGCGTATTTGCTTCGATATGGAGGAAAAATAAAATCATCTAATTATTCTGCATGAGCGTGCTAACCTTGAAACAGTGCATGTGGAAAAACAGTCCCAGCGTATCTATGATCATAGCAGCGCCTTTTCCCAGAGGCTGAGAACAACCAGTGCACAGTCTCTTTCCACTAACACACCTACACAAAAAAGAGAGCAGGGGAACAGTTAGTCAGATACAAACTCTGCTTTCCCCACATTAATGGATCTTCAATCTGCTGATCTGTGGTAATATTTCAGGTATTCATTGGTGCATATGTGTGCTAGCATCATCACCTGCTGGGTGAGGGAGGCTGAGGCTTTGGAGAGGAGGACTGTTGTTCACTTGTAACACCATCATGAGATCCAGATCTGAGGTTAAAAAAAGAAAAATATTCACATACACAGCTGAAAGATATGTGCCATGCTAGCACCCCCCCCTCCCAAAAAACCCCAAACAAACAAAAACAAACAAACAAACAAAAGAAACAACTTAAATCTTCTGACAATTGAATATTAACACCAGACAGGAGAGGTTGCCATTTTATCACAGGGCTCTCCAGAGAGAGCGAAAGTGCGAACTGCTGCTGCCAGAATTCAATCCAATAAGTAAAACAACTGTATAAAATAACACAAGGGTGTAGATACAGGCATATACAGCCACCTGGTGTACCTTTTAACAACCTGTCCCTGGTTCAGCTGAGTATTGCGGTCCAGAGAGGCCGTTTTCCACAATTCCTGTTTCTTTGAAGGTTCAACATCAGCCCCAGAATCTATAAAAATGAATAACATAGTATGATAAACTCTAAAGAATGCTTTACTGTTCTCATTATAAACTTTGTCCTTTGGAGGCTAAAGCTTCTTTGATCCAACTTCTTCAGATGTTTGTTTTTTCCCTCGCTTTGTTGGTCCAGAAATGTAAGTACTTCATGCTCACCCTGGAAGAAATGCAGCTTTGATGCATGCTGATCTTCATTCCCTGTAGAGATTTTTTGGCCATTGTGCTGCAGAGGAACATTTTTTCCCTTTGTGTTGTCGTTTTCTGTACCAGGTGAGGTTGTCGCCGTCTGTCCTGACACCTGGTTTAACAGGCCGGTAGGATTGAGGGGTGTGACGGTCTCCTCTAGAATCCGTCTTTCCTGGAAGAAGTACAGAGAAAACAAAAAATCAAAGATGAAAAATAGGACGTGCAGAACCAGCACACATAGTTTTGTTTGTTTTTTTAGCTTAAAGTGAGTCTGTCTAGATGTTTGCACCTCTTCATTGTGCTTCCTCTCCTCCTCTTCCACCTCGAGCTGTGCTTTCTCCCATTCCTTCATCAGCTTCTCTTGCTCTCGCTGGTATTGCTCCTGAAGTGAAACACGTTCATGTTAATTTCTGAATGCTCAGAAAACACATGTGACACACACACACACAACATTTACACACGTGTCCATTACATCGCGTGCAGTCTGTTTTCTGCAAGGCATTCGTGCACATACACATCATTACACTGCAGTACCTTTAAGAGGCGCTCCTGCTCCTGTTGCCACCTTTCCAAGCGCTTACGCTCCTCATTGGGGTCCCAGACCCAGTGATTAACACGTTTAGCCAAGTTCAACATGGGGGTCTCAATCTACCCAGACCCGACCAACAACCACAGACACACACATGTATACCCACCAAAAGGACAGAAAGAGAGGAAAGGTGAGAGGACAAGTCTGACTACAGCGACTACAGTGACCACTGG